ACCCCACGGGCCAGATCTGGCCCCCAGGCCTTGAGTTTGATACCCTTGCTCTAGAATGAGCTCTCCAAACATGCTGAGGATCAGCAGCAACTTCTATAAGTAATAAAGGGATATAAGAAAGCAAACAGTACAGTACTCTGAATGGCTAAGACTATGTTACCACAAACTAACACTTGATTTTATTGAAAGCATGAAGATGATCAAAGAAGCTTTGCTACAGGAAAATTATACCTTCTCTTTATTGCTTATTAACATCACAATCCTATTGTGCTTCTTTCCTCTTCCACAAAAAATATTTGTGTGGAAGTAGAACAATGACATAGAAAGGAACTTACGATTTAGAGAAGAAAGCATTAAAATCCTTTATAAGGCTTAGGTCAGGCCAAGGTCAGATCAATTCAAGTTGTTAAAAAAGTTTTGAGTATTTTATTTAGAGCCACTGAATTAATTTGAAAAACAGATAATTAAAAAAAATAAAGATGGGAAAAATGTTTGCACTTTTTCCAAACAGGCAAAAAGGCAAATCCAGAAAACTAGAGCAGAAAGAATAATACAGGTAGTCCTCGACTTATAACCATTTGTTTAGTGATCATTTGAAGTTACAATAGCATTGAAAAAAGTGACTCATGACCATTTTTCACACTTATGAAAATTGCAACATCTCCATGATCAAAATTTGGGCACTTAGCAACTGGCATTTAGACAGTTGCAGTGTCCCAGGTCATATGATCACTTTTTTGTGACCTTCTGACAAGCAAAGTTTATGGGGAAGCCAGATTCACTGAACAACTGTGTTATTAACAACTGCAGTGACTATACAGTTCAACTATGGCAAGAAAGGTAAAATGGGGTAAAACTCACTTAACTGTCTTGCTTAACAACAGGTCATGCAGACCAGATTCATATTTCTGCTCATATGCTTATAAGCATATACAGCATACATGCTTACTAATATTCAATATAGTAGATCGCAAGAATGTCAATGACCTAGCGTACATTTTTTCAGCATCTATCTGACATTATATTCATGTTGAAAAGATAGTAAATATGTAATTGTGTATATACTACTGTTAGATAGTTTACTCACCGGTTAACTACAAATGCATGTCCTGCATAACTGCAGCTCTTTTTAATCTGATCTAGAAAAATGTGAAAATAGGTATTTGTCAAATCTACAGTTTAAATTTTAAAGAGGGTATTGACACTGCATTATGCTTGGACCATGCCTGTGATTAGGATAATTAAAGAACTGGAGAAAAACTCCAGGAAAACTATTCAACTACAACAGTGGTGAAAGTATGTACAATATTAAGAGGCAATTTGAGAACAGTGTTAAAACAAGTATATGAAAGGTTGATCTAGATGAGACCATAGCAAACATTTGAAAGAGGACAGTCTAAGAATCAATGAGTAAACCCTGCAAGAAAGCAAATTTTAGTTAAACACTTCAGGAGGTGCCTGTGGTCTTAAATGATGTGAATCAGTTTGACCTAGTGGTTCAAGCACCCGGCTAGAAACCAGGAGACAATGAGTTCTAATCCTACTTTAGGCATAAAAGCTGTCTGGGTGACTTAGGGTCAGTCATTTTCTCTCGGCCCAACTCAGTGTTGTGGAGGAAAGAGGAAGGGGGAGCATTAGGTATGTTTGATGCCTTGAGTTACTGGCAATATAATAAGGGAATAATCTGGGAAGAATTTGAATTTGTTTATCCTGATAACAGGGACCTTGGATTGTGAATTCAGCCACCTGTTCTTTAAATCCTGTCTCCTCCTGGCTGATCAAGGCCTTCTAGTAGGTGAGGGTCCCATGTGTACTGGGTCGATGCAGAAGTTAATGTTTCTTTGTGGGAGAGAACAGTGCCAGCTGTTCTGAAAAAGGCAATTATTTGAATGAAAAAAAATAGTCAATAGTCAGATTATTTGCCTAGTAGTTCAGAGATCAAAAACCTGATGCTATGTATAGATGTGATGTTGGATGCTTATGTTGCATTATTGCAACAACAATGTATAAGTCTTATGAATATTAGCAAAGATGTAGAAGTTAGAACTCTTAGTCTTTACTTCGTAAATAAGGCATGCTATCAGCAGCAATAAATATTGTTTCATTTCTCCCATTATCAACATTGTTTAGGTTTTTAACAGTAATAGCATGCTTACATGCTATAAGAAAATGTGGTTTTATGCCGATCTCAAATGCACTTTAACTTTCTAAAGTAGCCTAAATCATGAGATCATAGCACAATACTAAAAATATCCCTTCAAAGTAAATGGTATGAAGTTCAGTGGAGCTGACAGTTAGGTGAATAAACATAGGATAAAAATATCAAAACACTTATGGTTAAAAATGAAAATATGCACAGAATGAAGACAAGTCTCAATCAAGGCTGAATCTTAAATCAGCCCTCAGAAAATCCTGGAACACACATTGGGTAGTTACACCAAAATAGCTACATGAAAAGAATAGAAAATTCTGAACATGGAATATTGTTTCTTCATTTTACTATGTCAGATCCTTGCAAAAAAAATCTTTGCAAATTAAGGAAAGTATTTAAAACTATGAGTCATTTGTTTGATATAAACATGAGACCCATGCAGTATCACACGGCAACATTGGGCAGCAATAATTTAATACCAGCTATAAACCTCAAACATTTGTATGAAATTGTAACAATTTAAAGTTGCACACAAAGTTTTAGGCACCCATGGATAAATTTTATTTTTCAATGAATTTTGAAATGAGCACAAGCAGGCATAACCTCTCCATGGCACAGAACAGAATATGCCATCTTTTTAAAAAACCTGAATGCATGTTCATCAACTGTACAATTGTTCAATAATTTCAAGCAAGAAAATTGTCTCTATGGCAGGTGCAGAAGTTTGCACACCCTTTCAAATCAGTACTTTGTTTCACCTTCTTTGGAGAAATAACAACTTCCCAAACATTCCCCATAGTCCAGGGGTATCTGTGGGATACAGGCAGCACATGAAACCACACACCATTCCCATGCGTGAAAAATCTCTTTCCATGAACTGGTCCTTGGTGCCCAAAAGGTTGGGGGCCATTGCTATAATCAGTTAAGAATCTTTCCATTCTTGCTATCTGAGATCTCTATATGCTCATGTTTTTTCTCTATTCAGATCTATGAATTGTTAAAGTCATACCAAAACCTTCAGTTTCCTTTTAAGTATGTAATGATTGTCCTGGGAAATACTAGATCACTCTGTTGCTGAAATATCTAGCCTCTTTTTAATTGTCCAAATTTCTGCCCTTACCATATACATTATTTTCTTGTTTGGAATCTGAACTGTACATTAATAGCAAGTATGCATTTAAATTTACAGAAAAAATATGTTGAACTTTGCACCATATAAGAATTATGCCAACTCCAATTGTGCTTAAAGTAATATATTATTGGCATAAGACAACTCGTATAGATTCTTATCAATATATTTAATTATTTTAATTAGAAATTATTTTTATCAAATTAAAATATGCAGTTAATATTCTCTGAAAAACAGAATGCCTATAGTTACACAGTACCAAAGGAAAACAAAACATTTTATGGAAATATTATACAGTAGCTATTAATTTTATAATACTTTATAAAATAGATTAAGCACATTTATAAGGCTTTAACGTGTAAAGAGAATGCAAAAACATATCAGCTGTAGCAATGAATTCACAAACTAATCCAAACAACACTGTAGATGTCTAGTTCAGAATAGTGAGAATGACCAATTTCTGGCAAACCCAGCTAAATTTTACAAACAAATGTTATACATTGTGTTATCGTTATCAACAGAGTTATAGGGAATGTATCTCCCACTGGAGTTACTTCCAAAATATGTACTGAGTATGGGCTGTGTTTATAGGTTCCATATATACCACAGCTAAAAATAAATACATTAGTGTAATTTTACCATTGTTGCCTCCAAACTCAAAACAATTCACCATCCACCTGAACTAATAATCCCAAGGAAGCCACAAGATGACATGGAATCTCAGCATGGGGCCTGGTACCAATTTTCTACAGTTGTCTGATCTTTTAACCATGGGAAAATCAGTCAATAACAAGACTTCAGCCACTACTACAACAACAACAATAAAAAAAAAAATGAGAGAGAGAGAGTGAGTCCCTTAATATTAGCCATGCCAAAAACAAACAACAACAACAACAAAACAACCCTACAAATACACGGGCTTTAACGGAAAAGCTATCAAGTGGGCAGGAGATTAAAAATGCGAAACAATGAAGGGGTGAAAGGAGGCATTTCTCCTACCTACCTAGACTACTTTAAATGATCGCGCTTAGTGGAAAACAAGAGAAGGGAAGGGGAAAAAAAATAAAATAAAATAACCACCACCCTTAAAATGATCACCGCCTTCCTTACACAACAAGGTGGGGGCAAAAGGCGGAACTACAAAAGTGCGGGACGGCTGAGTCATCCCCCATGGAGTTAACTTCAAGGGAAAAGGGAGTCCCGGAGAAGTGAAACGGGACATTTTCGGGACCGGCGTGCCAAGACACCGGGCCGGTCCAGGGGTGGGGTGGGGTGGTTGCGCAAGGGGCGGTCGCCTCGGTGACAGTGACGGCCAATGCCGGCGGGCTCCTCTCAGCCTTGGGACATCGCCGCCGCCCCCCTCCCACTTTCCCGCGACTCACCCCCAGCGGGCCATCCCAAGAGCAACAGCTGGGCGGTCCCGGGCACCGTCCCGCGCCGGGGACCGGCGGCTGCGGGAGCTCCTCCCCTCTTCTGCGGCTTCACACACACACACACACAGGGCTTCGGGGGTCCGGCTCCCGGAGAAAGACAAGTGACGGGAAGAAGCACGAGCAACGGCAGCGACGCCAAGAGACCGAGCTGTCGACCGAAGATGTCGATGGGATGGGGGATGCCCGCGGGGAGCGGCGAATGTACTTCGAAGGTTCCGGGCTGTGTATCGGGCCCCGCGGGCTTAAGCGCAGCCCTCACTGCCGCTGTTTGTTATTGTCGTCGCCTATTTCCGCCGCGGTGCATCTTGGGTAAACTCACCAGCCGGATAGACGAGTTGCGGAGGTAGCAGAACAACCATAGAGAGAAGCCAGAGGCCTCTTGGGTAGAGCGGCGCCCCGAAATCCTCGGGGTTTTGACAGAAGGAAAAATAGGAAGGTAACGAATGAAGGAAAACTTTTGTAGCCGCAGGGTTGAAATGTAGGGGCCTCGGTGCTCTCTGAGTTTGGTGGTTTACTTGTAGATGTTTTGTTACCCAGCTAGCACTGACGATGTTACCTAGGGCAGGGGTGGGCAATTATGGGCCCTTTACGACTTGTGGACTTCATTTCCCAGAATTCCTGAGCCAACCATGCTGGCACAGGAATTCTGGGAAATGAAGTCCACAAGTCGTAAAGGGGCCATAATTGCCCACCCCTGACCTAGGGTAATGAAACGTCTGCAAGAAAATAAGCAGGCAAGCTCAGAGAACACCAAGGACCCCACATAGGAAGGTAAGGTTGTCACAAATATGGACAAGTGGATTAATTCAGTTTTTTTTCAGGCAGGGAGAGAGGTGCATGTTTGCCTTCTTAATTTAGTCCAGTGGTCACCAACCAGTGGTCCATGGACCACTGGTGGTTCGCCAGAAAATTCTGATGGTCTGCAGAAAAATTATTTACATTTTTTATATTGCACTAAATATTATTTATCTTTTTAAAAAAATCATATTGGTGGTCCGCGGGATTTAAAACTATGGATTTAGTGGTCCCTAAGGTCTGAAAGATTGGTGACCCTTGATCTAGCGTATTGTTTCTGAACCTTGGCAACTTTGGCAGGTGTACATTTCCAACTCTCAGAATTTCCCAGCCACTTTCCTGGAAGCTGAAGTCCTCCACATATCATAAAGATGCCAAGCGTGACTTTTTGGCAAGAAGAAATTGAGCATGTGATTCCGCAAAGACATCTGATCTCATGATGCTTAGTGTTCTTCTAAAAAAGCATTTGATCTGGTTTGAAACATAGGCTTAGTACTGCTTAAAAAAAAAAAGTGGTAAACCTATGTTTAAGAAATGGAGTGCAGGGAAGATTTAAACCAGGAAATAAATGTGGATTCTTTCAATGGTGTGTTACTGATTTTGGCCCCAGAGAGGGCATTACAGATTTTCTGTTGACGAGGAATTTCTTTTGTCTGTACTTTCTATTGTATTCATTATTTGAACTGGAGGCCCATTTTTCCTACTTTAATATATTTTTGTACATACTATAGGATACTACTAGGTCCTTCCATCTGGGATCACTTGTTGTTAGCATTGCTTTTTCATGCAGTAGCTACTGATTTTGAATATTGAGGAGCTGGTGTGAAATTGACAAGCATAAGTCACACACCAACCAAAAGGCATAAAATGAGGTGGAATGGAATGCACCTGATATTTCTCAGAACTGCTCCATTGTGCTTATAACTTGTGATTTGTCCTATTTCTGATCGTAGATCTACTGATCTTCTGAAAGTGTGACAAAGCTTCATCCCAAAATATCCCAGAAATAGGATTAAGCAAGATGCTCTTTCATTGTACCATACAAGATCATGAACTTTATTATTCATCCTCCTACATCCCATCAATCTGTCAGTCAGGAATTAAAACCATATGAATAGTGATCATCAGGCTGATTGGTATTCAAAAATGTCCTAGCTGACAGATTTCTGGGGCATACGAGGAGCAAGGGATGAAGCAAGAGGCAACTGCCTTGATAAGTCCTGGAAGCTGGTTGCTGCTTCATTCTGTATCTTCCTATGCCGTATCAACATTGCTGCTGGGATATTTTTGGATGAGAACCCTGAACTTCCAGATAGGCCCATGCTTAGAAATAGTCTGAGTAGCTGGACACAATCACATAATACTTCTGCATGCCTTTAAAGATACTTATAGCATTCTTCCAGCAGCTATCCATAGTCCCCTAAGACTGGTTCAGTACACACTAAGGACACACCTATACTGAAATTACTGAAGGCAAAAATAGTCCCAATGTGTGGAATTGAGGGGCCTTGCACAAAGCTATCTCACTTGAACAAATTCAGATCCATTTTTCAAGAAGCATTCCAAGAACTAATAAGAAAACATGATGAGCCCTTATGGTCAGAGCAGAAACAGATATCTATTCCGTACATAGCCAATCAATAATTAAAGTTTCCACATACTGGCAAAGTATCTACCTAATGTATGTTTAGTGGAACAGATAAGTGTGACTCAACCCAATTCCTCGCTAAGCTGACTTGCCAAAGTTATTCACAGAATGGGTTTTCAACCTGTATTTACTCTCAACTGTCTCCCAGGCAAGGGTCATTTTTAAACAGAATCCTAAATATATCAGTGCCCAAATTGACATGGAGTTCTTGGCAAAAAATAGATCTTCAAATTGGCTGGCTAAGAACAAAACTATTTTCCAATTTGAAAAATATCTGCCAATGAGTTTGATGAAGTTCTTAAGCAGGTCATATTTTAAAGCAAGTTTTGAGTTGTTGGATTCCATGACCAAATATGGATACTTCCATTACCTGCCATATCATGAGTGAACATGTACAGTCTGTGCAGTGCCCCAGCTATCAAATATATTGCTCGTTTGTTTAACTGTCTTAAATATTTAACATATATATTTGAAAGAATAGCCCACTAATCTGGACCCTGGGCGAATCTGAATCACAGATTATCCTATTTTCTCCTGGCATCTAATTGTGGCATTGTGAGCATAACTACTTCGTTAAAGCAGTTTTGCTAAGAACCCATTATATCAAATAGATTGGGGCATCATATAAAGGTGATGTATCTATCTGAATGCTAATTCTTTGTATTTACCACATATGTATTTTATTATTGTATTTTTATCCATTTTACCCTGGAATTAGATCCCATGCTTTTATTTTCTTTGATATGGCCATAAGATTAATAAATTAATAAACTATTACATATTAAGGACAGTGGTTGATGGCTGTTTCTCCTGCTAGTTGGTGATATTATGAGATGAGAAGAGCACAATAGCAAGGAGGATTCAAAAGTCCCTGTCCTTAACCTGCCCCACATTAAAACAGTAAGGACAGCATTTATCTGCCTTATCTGAGCACAGAGATCACTCATTAAGGCATATTCATATAGTTGATTCAAAGAATGTGGCTATGAGGAACAAGCTCTGTATCAGGCACATGTGTTGTCATAGACATGGTCTTCATGGTGCCCAGACCTAAATAATATTGAAAATATGTCAGCAAATCTCAATATAGTTCATCAAGGAGGACTAGGAATATTTCCGAACTATATTGCAAGAATTCTGCAAAGAAAAGTAAAGAAAAAAAATGAAATGTAAGGGGGAAAAAAGGCTCTTAGCTGGCTACAGAAAATAATTGGAGGTAGAGTTGTCACTAATTACCAATTAAAAGGCTCTGCAAACGTATGCACCTGCCATGTTAATTATTAATACCATATTAATTTCTTATTAATAACTGCCACAAATAGTAAGTATGCATTCAAATTTGTGGAAATATACTGTGTTTAATTTTTGTACCATGTAGAGATTGTCAGCTTCTGTTCATTTAGGAATTCATTGAAGCACACAATTTGACCTAAACTGTACAATACTGAGTGGGCCATTGTTGATCTGTTGCTTAGCATGTATAAGGAAAATAGGAAGTGATGTTATGGGTAGAAGAATATTTTTAACAGAAATTTCAAGCGATAAGGTCTTTACCCAAAAGGTTTTCAATCTACACGATCTATCTACAGTAGTTTAGTACTTGGTTGAAATATCTGATTATGTAATTAAAAATGAGCCAGTGCTATGGCTGTGATTCTAATATATTAATGTAATCCTATGAAGTAGGGGCCTTGGTAGTACAGTGGTCTAAAGCACCCTGTTATTAACACAGCTGCCTGCAATTACTGCAGGTTCGAATCTTACCAGGCTCAAGGTTGACTCAGCCTTTCATCCTTTCTAAGGTAGGTTAAATGAGGACCCAGTTTGTGGGGGCAATAAGCTGACTTTGTATAAATATACAAAAGTATGAAGGCTATTGCTTAACACATTGTAAGCCGCCCTGAGTCTCCGGAGAAGGGCGGCATATAAATCAAATTTAAAAAAAAAAAAAAAGGAATGCACCCCATGAAAAAATATGTTTGTTTATATGTGTACTGATTATAATGTTTTGATGAGATAATGGTATCTCAAAGTAAGCCAAATACCTGATTTTTTTTTAAATTCATGGATATCATCATAGATGCCTTAATTATAATTATCATAGGAGGGAATCTTTTTGCCTTGTTTATACATTGCACAAAGCAATGCTTCGTTTAACCACAGCTATTTGAATCAGTCATAATTGCATGGTTTCACAGCCCACAAAAAGCTATAAGCAAAACTTTTTAAATGGGAGTATAGTCAGAAAGATTTTAGTAAACTGCATTGAAACTTCTCAATTATCCCACAAGCTTCAAACAACTAGAAGCCATTTTTGCTGCTGTTAGCGTTAACAATCTAATGTCCAAAAGATTTTGCCTGCCAGAGACATAATTGATTAGTGTAATATCCTTGTGATTATGGTGTGGTACATACATTTGCAAAGGTAGCTGTCAGCCATCGATCAATAACTAATCCTAGTCTATTTGCCGCCCCCCCCCCCCCAAAAAAAAGAACCAAAATAAGCAGATAATTGATTAGTGTGCAAAACTCACTGGCAGGCAAAAACATTTTGATCTGCAAAAAGGGAACAAGGGTTGATTAATATGTATTATAGTTTTGCATGCTTCAAAAGAAAGATAGAAAAGATGCTTCAGAATGGGAAGGAACGTAGTATCTCTTTAAAGCAGCTGTGTCTTTTTTCTGGCTTCCTTGTAAGATACAGCATTGTCTTTAACCAGACTCCATAAAGCAGGCAGTTATTTTTTTCAGGCTCATGCAGAAGACACATCTGTTGTGCTTGCATTCCTGTACATTCTAAAATATCTTTTTAAATTACAATACTATAGTATAGTATTATATAATATATACTATACTATGAGATGAGATGAGATGAGATGAGATATGATATATATGATACGATACGATACGATATAATATAAATTATAATACTATTTATGAACAATATAGAGCACGAGTGTCAACTCACGACGTCACGTTGCTGCCACATGAAG